GCTATCGGTCCCCTTCCTCCTATTCCCGGACGAAGGGACGGTTGCTCTCTGTTTGTTTCTCCCCTTTATAGGGTTGAGAAGTTAGATCTCTAAATCGCTCTCTGCGCTTTGGACGCAAGTCAAAGACGTGTCTCTCTGAGACATAATTTGTAGTGTTGGCTCTCTCGACTGACTCTACCCAGTCAGTACGCCACACCATGAAAATTTTCCGAGGCGTAACACTGCTAGGGCTTCAAAATGATCGGATACTTCCCCATAACTTCGTTGCCTAGGAATGATAGTTTAAGATGTGGCAGACTAAAAATCCCGACTCCAACGGCCCACTGACTTTTCTACAAAGTTTGACCCACAGCTTTCTGGGCAAGGAAGCTTGACGAAAATATTCGATGAATTTTGAAGCACGAGTAGTATTCAGAGGTTTATTCTTCATCTGGAGTTTCGGCCACGTAGGGTGTAGTAACGCACTCTTTTTGTCATGTATCACACAAAAGATTCAACGTAAAACAGGTTGGATGAGGAAAAAAATTTAAAAAGCTGAAGATGAATTCTGATCGATATATTTTTTTTTTCTACTTTCGATCAAAAATAACCAAAAAAAGTTTTATCCAGAATGATTAAATAGTATATTATGCAGCAAGTAGGTGACGAATTTTTTGGCCCGTGCGAGAGTTGTAATACGAGCCGAAGTCGAGTGTCACAATCCCAGGAGTAAAAAAATGCGTAACACACGTGTTTCGTGTACTATTTGATGTCATAGGGCCCATAATCGACGATTCTAGCGAGGGAAGTGAGGTTAAAATCACGTTATCGCGGACACCTATGACATAATAGGGATTTATATAATGCACGGCGTTCGTCGGTCTTCTCAGACAACAAGGCATAACTTCTTTGCAAAAAAGCCAAAAAGAGTCTAGTCAAATGCGTTATTAGCGACTGTACATTTGCAAAACCATGCAAAAGAATGGAAAGTTCTACGCGACGAATCTCGTATGGCGTTTCAGTTCCTTGTGATCCCAAAACGCTCTACCAACTCATTAATTGTAAGAGATACTGTTTATAGTGGCTACTTTACTTTCCACCACACGTGGGTATCCAGGTAAGTAGGATAAGTAGTTGTGCACACATGATGAAAAGTTATGCACATGAAATAAAAAGTTATGTACAAATGAGAAAATGTTGTGCACATAAAAAAAAAGTTGTGCACATTTTTAGCCTATACATTGAGAGTTTGAATCTTGTCCAAATGATGTGGAATATGCAGGGATGAATGATGACGACAAATTCATACAACTATCTAAAGTTTTGAATTTTTGAATTTTTGAATTTTTGAATTTTTGAATTTTTGAATTTTTGAATTTTTGAATTTTTGAATTTTTGAATTTTTGAATTTTTGAATTTT